ACGCTCAGTTGCTGACGTACAACCGGTACGCTTAATTACTGTCGCGTAAGTTTCTTTGCCGTCGGGGCTGAGATGGGGGACTTTCTGTAGAAATAACGCTTCTCGATTAGCTCACTTTTGTCAAATATCTTTATAAGGTGCTAAGCTACTAAACGCTGATCAACACTCGATGTACCTTTCTGATATTCTTGAGATTTTTGCTTGACTATAGGCGGATAGTTTTTCTCGCTGTATTTTCCCCAAACATACTCATCTGGTGTATAAACGAACACAATTTGAAAGAGCTCATGCAATTCACTTGCCAGTTCCATCTCACCACTGTCTCTATTACAAATTGTGAAACGACGATTTGACTGGCTTCGGCTCTGCAGTGCACATTATATGTTTGCCACTTAAGCTTGATTAGTTGCTCACTTTCGACTTAAATTACGTAAGCCATGTGCTTTAGGCTGGCCCAATCGGCTGAAATTGTCGTTCCATATACCTCCTGCACATTTTAATTGCTGTTTTGTATTTACCGACGGGGATTGGCCTGTTGTATCCCTCTCTTTCGTTTTTTTGCTCGCAACTTTTCTGCACTTGTGCTCATCCACTTGGCGTCGGTGACGACACCACTTTGTAACTCTCTCTATGTTATTGCGTTGGCACGGTTTCGAGGCTAGCCGGACGACGGCTTGTTGGATGAGATACAGTCGCGATCTTGCTGCTCCTATTCGCCGCACATTTTGGTAGTTTACCTAATATTTTGTTTGTTTTGCGCATCATACTGCGTGTTCGTTTAATATTCTCATGCCACACATTGGCTGTCTTGATAGGCCCGAAAATGCTTCAAATTTCACGCACATCTCTGCTTCCCAGGCACACAGAAGACGTCTTTTGGTACTCTCAGATAGTGGGTCCGATTCCAGTGAAGATGTCGCTTTTTCCACTTCTCTTCGCACTCGTCGTCCGTTGGTGCTTGATTCGGATTCAGAAGACCACACAGGGACACACGAACCAAAGCGCCCCAGACACAAGTCAGACTCTAACGGATTTTCCAATGTCGGCAACACGATTCCAGTTGCTGAACTTAATTTCTCATCAGGAACCCCACAGCCATCGACATCTCGTGTGATGCCCCAAGACATCGCAGGGTCGGAATATGTTAATCACGGTACTGGTAGAGAAGGGCTGCCGAAGAAAAAGAAGAAGCGAAAAACCTTGAAAGCCAAATCTACCACAAGTAAAAGTCGATCGAAGTTGAAAAAGAAACCTAAATCCAAAAAGCTTGTCAAGCACCGGAAAAACTTGACGGCTACCCAGCGTAGGCTCAGAATGCGCGTATGTTTACAGTGTTTCTGATGCTGCATTCTTAAGCCTTATCCTCACTTCTCCAGTATTCCTTGCCCCACATTTGTTCGATCCACCTCTCGGTTACAATACTCCGATGTTTTATCGACTAAGGCCCCAGCTTTAATTCGGTAACACGACGATTCAGAAGTTTCTATTTTCTTGATCGACCGATGTCTGAGTGACCAAGCGTCTTGCAGTCTGCGTGTCAACCGCTCGATGCCCTTCGCAGATGCGGGCAACAACGCAGTATCTCTTGTCCGCGCTTAACTTCAACAGCCAAACATCGGTGCGAGGTACTGTCATAATGATGTCTCTTTACTCGACATATTTGAGTTCAGAATCTGACTAGATCACCGTATCCAGCCTTGTATTTTTCCGAACTCACTTTTTTCTTGACAATCTTTTGAATATTCCTATGTGCCAAATTATTGTGCCATTTTAAGTCTAATGAATCCGAATGGGGGTATAAGTCAACGGTGGAGATTCATTGAATAAGGCGACCTTGCGTGTTTGAACTATCTAACCCCACTATTTCGTGATTAAATCAGTTTTGCTGCCTACTCTCATTGGTTTCGTTGCGCCTCAATTCCGTGCGCTTCGCTACCACCTGCTCTGGGTCTCGTCAGGCCAGCAAGGTGTTTCATCCCCGTAGGACGGACGAATGTCCCTATGTGACACATGTTTAGTCCACGTGAAATTTCATGAGCAGAATCATAGGGAGTGGATAGGACTTGCTATCATTAATCAATTTCTTTCAATGACTTATCAAAAGATGCTTACTAATTATTACCTACTGGGTCATGGGTTAGAAGAGTGCTGGCGATTATGATTTCACCTTACGTCTCATATGAGAGCGATCGCCTGTCGATTGAAGAACAGCTGGTATTGTCCAGGTAATTTTATGTTCTTTGGTGTCACTGAACACTGCAAAATGGATAGCCCTTAAATTGACAAAAACAACTAACATGTCAGCGGAATATTCTGCATTTACTTTATTTTGCACCTTCTTAGTCAGTTTCGTATGTTCAGTGGGGCGGTTAAATGCATGGTAGAGTCAAGCCGAGAATTGATACTAACCTTCATTCAGAATTTGCATCCTTAAGGGTTGTTAACATTTGTGGCACAACATACGGCCTACGAAGGCAGCCTTTTACTAATCTCAAGCTGCTGACGCCTTCAGTCGCTCGGATCCTGTTCGGCTGTCCAGTGTGCTGAAACAATCATGACTTATTCGTGTTTAGCAACACACGTTTACTGACGATTTTTACCATTCAGTCTCCGAAATTCAACTCGGTCTAGTGACCTACCTCCTCTTTTCTTGCTAAAGTGTAGGCTGCATCATTATAAGCGATCATTTTGATCACTTCAGCTTCCCAGTGATACCTCATATCGATCCGTGATTATCTCCACCATTTGTCTAACTTTCTCGTTGAGTGTATCTGGGCTGTTGACCAAAAACATGAGAAATGGACTGATTTCGTATTAGCTGTCCTATTGCTTGTTTTCGCCATTTTGGGCCTGTTAAGTGTGTGGGTTACGTGAGGCATCGATAAATGATCTCACGATGCCTAGTCAAAATTTCAAGAACTAAGCGCTAATCTTTGTATTCATACTCAGTCGCTTATCGATGTAAAACATTGGAGAAGAGATTGCTACCACTTGTGAATGTATCATTTGCGTGAACATTCACATCACATGGGGGCTCCCCATGCTTCTCCAACATTGTATGACTGTAGTTTGTAGACCTTTACACTTGAAGTTATTGTAGAATCATCTAACTAGAAATTGCTGGTATCAGCTCAGTTCAGCTCATCTGTGCCATCCTCAGTACCATCGAGGTTCAGCACAGCGATGGACGCCTACCTGTGCCTCTGCATATTTTGCATTCCAGTGAGTGTTCTTCAATAGTCATTGCCATTGTATTGTTGTATCCACAGCGTGTATAATCCCACTAGAGTCTAACCAAAGACCACGAATACATTCAGTGAAGATAGTCAGATACCGGCTATCCGGATAGATGTACATTCCTTAATCAAGTTGACTACAGTGACTCCTTTAGCAAGAAATAATGGTTCCATAACCCATCACAGTGGAACAAAATAACAAGTCATAGACTGAACTCATGATGGAGCGACAGTATACTTGATGCTGCCCTTCCACCTCGGTATCCGAATTTTTAAATTAGCGAGCAGCTCTGCTACAAATATTAGAACAAGCTTTTCTTCCAAATGCGCTGAAGTTGAGACAACTTGCCATCGGTATGGGGTGGTCTTTATTTACCTTGACTCTGAGATTTTGCTTGGGATTCTGCGCACATGGATGATAACCATTCCCTGTGCGCAGCAGGGGTTGCTAGGTGGTGGCTGCACACGCTTGATAAGGTAAGCTGACCCAGTGCGATTGGTCGTTTTCTTCGGGTCTCCCCCTCTGTGACCTTGTTGTGCTACGCCAATTGAGATGAGTCGTTCACGTCTCACGCATGCCTAATGAGCATCTACTACGCTGCGCTATTTGCGCTCGAAGGGACACTTTGGAAGAGGCCGCGCCGTGGGCAGCCGACCACTTGATGACAAAGCATGAAAACACTGACATCTTACTTAGGCATCGCCGGCTCAGTACATCTGCCAGATTTGGAGACCCAAAGATGAAGAGTGCCAGTGGTTCAGAGCGCTTGAGGCAATGGCGCAAAACTGGATGCAGTGGAAGTAATGCACGGATATTTGCATGAAATCCAGCTTTGGAAAAATAATTTCCTAAAAAAGAAAAGTGCGAAATGTCGTGCGATAAAAGACAACAATACTGATGTTCTTTATTCCCCCTGATTATTGGTACTTTGCACAAATTCTGTCTATTTCCTTCTTTTACTCCGATATATATATATATATATATATATATATATATATATATATATATATGGATCACGATCTGGGTACAGATATCGTCCCATCGGAACCATGGCTGAATAGGAAAACAGGATTGGAGTAAAAAAAGGAAGCAAACAATTTTTGTCTGTCTTCCCACTCCCTTTTTCGAGTTTTTGCTGTTTTTTTCTTTTATTAAGGGTAAGAAGGGAAATCACCTCAACAAACGGAGATATACAACCGCCACTGACTTCAGTTTCGAGCCATGACTTCCAAGGTTTCCAAACAACTTCACTTAGCATCCGTGGGACACCATCCATCGAGCCGGGAGGAACCAACGGTGGCCAGATGTTTTGTCAGCTTTGCATCCTGCTTCTCTAAGTTATGGGCTGTCCACCACACCGCCTCCTCCAACCCTGTCCAGCGACCGCGAACAAGGCACGACACGAAAGACGCTGAACGGGCATACGAAGTACGTGTCCGAGCCATCGTAGTTGGCGCAGCGAGACAAGCACCTCGAGGGAGTGGCTGTCTCCACCCAAGACACGCTGTCTGACTTCAGCGTTGGTCACGTGGTTCATCTAGCACACACGGGCAATGGGCCGCAAGCAACGTTTTTCGAAAACAGACAGTTGACGTAGGTCATCGGTACGAGCAGGCTAAGTCTCGCAACCGTACAGCGCGGACAGTGGCACTATAAACCCGTCCTTTGATGGAGAGAAGGATGTCATGGTGCCGCTATGTCTCAGCTTGAAGGCGAGACGAGCCCCTGAGATACGCATCGAAATCTCGTTTCCAACAGAGTCACCAGCAGTTATGCAGCTTCCCAGGTAGACAAAACCATGCCACTTCTCACGTTTCCACATCGATGGTTAGTGCAGGTAGGGGTGTATACTAGTACTACTCTTGAGAAAGCGCTTTGCACTTCGTTGGTGATAAGTGCATGCTATGCTTTGACGCTTCAATTGCCAGGCGGTTATGTGCAAATTGGTCGGCCTGCGGACCGTCACCCAACAAGACGATATCATCAGCGTAATACAACTCAGCCACCTGACTATCTGGGAGGAGCTCAACGCCAGCATTCAACAAGTCTTCTAGAGCATCCTTAATGGTAACATTGAAGAGGAATGGAGAGATAGGGCATCATTGTCGAACTCCACTGGTGACAACAAAGGAAGGCAAAAGCATACCATAAGCCCTAACTCTACCCGAACACACGGAAGGAAAACGAAATTCCCGGGAATACCATTCCTCAACAGACAGTGCCACAATGCAGCCGTGTCGACAGAATCGAAAGCAGCACGGATATTGGGGAACACAACAATCGTTGGCTTTTGAAACACATCGCGGAGTTCGAGAATCTCGCGAAGTGCGAAAATCTAATCGATGAAGCCGCGACTAGGGCGGAACCCAGCCTGTTCTTCTCTTTGTAGTGATTCAATCATTGGGGATAACCTGCGAAGAGTGATGGACACCAGAATCTTGCAAACGACGGGAACCAAACTTATGCCCCTGTAATTGGAGCACTTTGTGCGCAGGCCCTTTTTGAAGTTGGGGATGAGTATTGACTCACTCTAGGATGATGGAACCTCTTTTGCACAGACTTCTGAGAATAAACCGGTGGGTTTTCGAACCTTTGAGGAGCTCCTATCTTTAAATAGAGCAGGGGGTAGACCCTCAGGGCCAGGTGCCTTATAACGCTTTAGGCAGCAGAGTTCCCGCCAGATTTTCTGGTGAGAGGGAGGATCACTGGGGATAGTCCACCCATCACCAGTGCGCGCCCCATGGGAACTGATGAAGCTGGCGGCCAGGAAAACTGCGAGCGAAAATTTTCGGCCCATCGCTCCAATCGTCGTTAAAAATTAGTGGTTAGGCAGCCTTCCTTTTCGCAGATTGTTTCATTTACTCCAGATCGGAAGCTTTTGGTGACTCGTATGAGGTGGAACAGTATTGTACTATTACCAGAGAGATTACCAAATTCAAGTTCTCTAGTATGTTCACACCACCAGGTCTCACGTTCCTTTTGTAAGCTCCTGCGCAACGCTAGATCCAGGAATCGGCGTTCTTCACTACCACTGGTGTCGATTGGGATCAAGCGGCGTCTGTCTATCAGCGACAGGAAGACAGTGGTGATCCAGCTTTTCGGCGGGTGACAAGCAATTCCACAACTGGCAGTACTGGCAGAAATTAAGGCGTCTTTGATGCACATCCACTGCGAATTCAGACCATCGTCAGAAGATGAAGCAAGCAGTGTTGGCAGAGTAGTCTGGTACTTGGTTAACGTCGCCAAATGTTAATTTTCGACGTTCGGTCGGTAGTGCGTACGTCTGAGTGATTCTCCGAAACGCATGCAAATCTTGGCACGAACCATTGCGTGATCGGAGTCCAGACAATTTGGCCAGTACGATCGGCAGTCTGTTACGCTTCCGCGCCATCTGTAGCTTATTGCTGTGTGGTCAAGTTGGGGCCACTCTTGCGTTTGAGAAAGCGGACGCCATGTAGCAATCTGCCTTTTCGAATGCCGAAAACTGGTGCTCGAAAGAAACAAGCGATGATCAGAACAAAGAGTCAGTATCCTGTCTCCATTGTCTGATCGGTTGCTACCGAGGCCAAAACTACCCGGTAAGAATGACAAGGTTACTTTCGAAGAGTGTAGAAGGTCATGTAACTGTTGGTAAAAGCAATCCTTGACTGCATCCGGGCTGCAGTTTAGGGGCGAAGGCGGAGATGACAAACAACGTACGCGTAACATCTCGACGCTTACTTAACTTACCTAGACCTCGTAATCTGACTGCACATAGCCGACTGTTGACTGGGATCCAGTCAAGCAAAGCGACCTCAGCCCTGTCACTCAGTGCAACCCCAACACCAGCTTGGACAGAAACGGTGGCCTCTGGGTCTCCGGAAAGGCACAAGTGGTACTTGACATCAGGGTTTGCCGGAGATGTCATTCTGATGACGGTACTGGCGTACTGCAGCCTGGTTTCGGAAAGGCAACAGATGTCCACCGCGAGAGTCTCAAGGGCATGGTTGTCGTCCGATTTGCATCAGAGTGCGCACATTGAACGCTACAAGACCGAATGGAGAACCAGGACAAAGGAAAGCTTGGGCTTCGGTTGAGTGTGAGGATGTTGTGACCACTGGGCAACGAACACCAAAAGTTTGGCTCAGAACTCTGTCAGATGCGACCAGTGAGCTGTTGTTGAAGGTGGCCGGGGAAGACATAGATGTAGTTATGGAACGGAACGCGGGACTATCTGTAAGCGGATGTTGAGCAGCAGAGACAGTAAAGCCAGAAGACATAGCAATGAAAGCAGCATTTTAATCCATCCACACATTTTTCGTCCGTGGGTTGCTCAGGCCGTAGTGGAGGGTTGTCTTAGGGGGCCCCAACCCCGAGCCTTTGATACAGGATCTAACCTACAAGATAGCAAGGCGATATCGCAACCCGTTGGTTCGAATGCCTTTCAGTCCTTGAGGGACCAGAGACCCAACACACTCTTGAATTAAAATGCCGCTCAGAGAGAGGCATAGGCATTGACTTTATTTAGTGGCGAGTCACATCTGCCACGCCACGGTGTTGTTAAACGGACATATATGGCTTTTATGGGGGAAACGTTTGCGAGGCGAAAATTCACCACCTCCCGAAACACTGCCACCGAACCATTCGCTGAAATGGGATAATCCCGAATCATTCAGCTGGCACCACGAGGTTGTTCGACAAGCAGTGCTTTTAAGTGGCTCGATGTCTATTCCTATAGATACATCATATAGGAAGATCACTCTTAAAACACGGCCCTAGTTGTATTTCTTCGCAAAGGAATTGATGAGCAAGTTCAAATAACAAACTTTTATTGTTGGCGGCATGTTCCGGTACTGATCACAACTATTTACTTTCGTTCACTGGTACTGGATCGGCACAAAATCACTGCGATCGAGCAGTTGCCTTAAGGAAGTTAGCACAGGAGCAGACAAATCGTTATCCGGATGCGTGTGAGCACATGTCTTCCATGATCAGGGTTATCCTACATTTGCTACAGACAAAGTTCTTTTAAATCACTCAACCTTTTTGTGATAGCTTCCTTTTCAACCTCTTTCCACTGCAGTTCCAGGTCGTATTACGACTTATCTTTTAGAGTACTGCACTATCTGATTATGTTTGCTAAGATGAATCAGAAGAAAGTGGACGCGCTATGTTACCAACCACCTGTACACAGTTCCCTTTGATTCCCATAAGGTTCCGTGCCACCTGTCTCGTTGTTTATTGTTCGTTGTGCGCATGCGAAAGTGGAAGGAAGATGATGTGCCCACACTATTTTGTCGTTCTTTCCTTACTAGTCGGGTGAAATGGAACAAGCTCCGTGGAGACTGTCATGTCGATTTGCTTTCATGCAGGGTGTGAGTTGGCTCCCGGTCTATAGCGTTTTTATGCGGATCACCAGGACGGACTAACGTGTGTTTTATCGCTTGAGAACAGATATGACATCCTCGCTATCAGTGTGTGTGTGTGGCCGGGATGCTTCACTTTTGGCACCAACTGTTCACCCGAGCAAACGAATCAGTGGGTTATATCAAGGACGGATGAAATTGTTACCCTAATCTATGCGACTTGAGCAGCGCGGTTGATTCAAGTGCGCAGTCATGATTAAAGGGCTGGGAGAGGAGTTTAGCACGATTTGCGTAGTTTCTTTTATTCATTTTTGGCGTGTTGTGCTTTGTACAGATAGTCACTTACCATTTGATGCTTCTCAATCGTCTTTTCTATTAGGCTGCTGAGAATACTTCATTGACATCATCCGCGTCTAGAAGTTCTGATTTTCATTCTTCTCCCCACAAACGGCCTTCGATCCGTGCAGTTCCTCGCCTCTCTCTGTTCGGCGCCGAACCTATTTCCGGGTTAGTCCCTGCTCTACCCATTTGCCATACCCAGTTGGAGTTGTCGAAGGCAAGCCTTCGTTTATCATTCCGGTCTATATCGCTGTCCTAATTCTCTTTATACTCTACTCGAATACCACAGATCCCGTTATACATGCTGCCAACACTTATACATATCTCATACTCTACTCTCATACTCTACTCTACATGAGTGTGAGTCAGCACGTAGCGACCAGTGGAACAGACAGCCATGTTTCAAGAATGAATTATCTTGGCTATAAAATGAAGGCTGGTAGCTCAGGTTGTTCAGATGGCGGTTACACTTTTCGTTGAGCTTGGCAATTTTTTCGCCATCGTTTCATTACCAATCGAGGTGACATCATAAGTGTGTAGTTACGTGGCGTAGAGAAGCGTCGGTGAGAGTGCAACAAAACTGCCATGCTCAGCGAACAGTTCAACCGCCATATGAATTATTTTGACAGAACGAGTAGCTGCCTCGCGGATACGCTCGAGATCCGAATACCAAATATTAATCTGCTTCATTAGTTTCGGCCCAGTGATCCAATCGGCCAATATTCACTTCGATGTGAGTGGCGATCCACATTCAGTTCAAGCATCGCAATCCATTCAAAGTCAATTTCCAAAGTAAACTTTATGAACCCTGGTAGATGCATTTTCATGTTACACTATCACTGCGGATGGTGAAGTAAATGAAATTACTGTTAAAGAGGAGACGAAACATCTACAATATGTCTACACATATCACTCAAGAAATTAATTCACACGATGCGTACTTCAAAGACCCTCCAATCAGTCTTTAACCGTTGTGCCAAGCGTTGCCCATCTTGACACGGTGGCTTAAGGGTAGAAATCCCAACTACCATCCTAATGGTCCCGGGTTCGAAATCTACTTTCATAACCTGATGGGATTATACAGGGTCTAAACGCGTCGTGGAGTGTAGTGTTTTCTATCGGTAACACCTAACACCTACCTGTTTCATCAGTTACGGTCCCATTGATCGAATGAACCCAAGTTCACTTCAATGTGAATCGTGCTCCATTTTGAGTTTACACGTCGTAACTCATTCACACAACGAGCGCTTCAAAATGACTCACCACTACATCACCTTTATTTCATTCGCCGTACATAAAAGATAAACAGCCACCGGTCCATCTTCGTGCCTCAGTCGAATTTCTCTAACTTGCCGTTTTCTATTTGTCCCACCTAAGTATATTGCACATAGTGCGCTACTTTTACTTACTTTCTTACTTATTAACTACGACCATCTGTAGAAAGTTTTATGGGTATTTTTTGAAAGTTGGTGGAGATGCCCTCATCATTTAGACGGGAGTCAGCCTACTAGATGTTACTAACTAAAACCTTATGATAACTTTTAACAGCGTCCTTCTCGCCGGCTTGAAACTCGATGCCTCACACTTAAGATCAGCGATTATTTTGTCTCCACATAACAATAGCTTGGAAGGCGCAGTGTTATGTTCCTGTTGACAATACAGACGACACGATGTAACTATTGCGGACTTCAGCCCAGTCGATTACTCAACTCTGAAGAACTTATTAGAAACAAGCCTCATTAATTATCATGGAGATACCGCTCATTGCATTAAGATGGCTCTGAGGATGGTGCTGAATCTGTCCCTCATTCTCATTGGTTGGCATCTAGTCATTCGACTTTATGCACCATTAATCCAAGCCTGTGAAGCAGGTGCAGTTACGAAGTGGATTTGCCGATTTTTTTGGATGAATTCTCATGATACTACTGGGGAGTTGGCCATGACTAGTTGTTTAATCAAACCAGCTGAAGACTTACACTGTAACCTAGGTACCCGCCTGCCTTCAAAAGCCCCCCCCCCGTTGCTGATGAAACCCGCACTACTAACAATGTAAGAACGAAACAATCGTCTGGCGTTTTTTTCTGGTGCCGTTGGCTGTTTAGCTAGAACCAGTGGTGAAAAAATTACGTTCAAACCATTTAAGTCTCGCTCTTCTACCGAAATGATCCTCTTAAGATGCTGCTGTCGCCGCTGACTGAAGACGACGATCCTCGGGTTTTGGGCTGTAGCCGATTGACCTGTCATCCCCACTGATCACTAATAGTCTGACAGTGGATTCATATATTGACGGTGTTGGAGAAAGCGACGCCTGATTGCACTAAGGAGTCATCTTGGACAGCTATAGTAATCACCAGTGTGCATTTTATCACAACGTAATTTGGGTATCGGGCGAGATGTGTTCTCATTCCGAAGTTTTTTTTGGTCCTACAGTATCATACTTGTTTGCTTTGCACGACATTCGGGATCGGAAGTTTTACTTCAGCAGCTTGTCACTGGTCATCCCAGTGGTTATTTCAGTCGGAGCGCTATCTCCCAAACGATCAACTTGAAACAAATATCCAACTGTGATGCAGCATCCTGACCAGATTTTCGAAGGCGTGCATCATGCTGCTAGGCAAATACCTTTTGACAAGTTCAAAGTAATTGATAACACATTAATACAGCGGTTTCATTCTGAGCAGATCGTCGAGGTGCATGTAAAATGCACATAAAAAGCAACCTAAACAATTTCTCCTCTCGGGTTGGAATGGATTGCGCACTTCGCCCTCTTTCTCTAATACTGTCATTGGTTAAACTGGCTTCTCTGGTATCTCTATCGTCCGCACTTTTCCGATTGGCACTATGAGGTCCGTTGGGGAAATCTCGCAATTGCTCGATCCTACACATTGGGAGGAGATAAGCCCATGTTTTTGCCACAATGCACAGTTCTCATCGACCTAGCTACGAAAGTCGGATGCTTCGAAACTCCTTGTCGAACGTGTTTTGTCCGATACGGTCGCCCATTACTTTTTACAACCGCTTTTGCAGTTGCCTACAGTAGCTTCCACATGGGGTTTTCCGTAAGGTTTCTCATTAATCGCGCCTACGTGTGACAACGTAACTTATCCACATATCCCATACCAAGAACATTTGTCCACTTTCTGCTGTAAATTAGACAATTTAATCGAAACACTCGGGATCGAACATGCCTCAGTGGTTTCATATCACTTTGAAGGATCTGGTCCACCTTACTGGTGTTGTGAGTGGACCGAAACCTTACTGCAGAGAGTTCACGGTTGCCCCCAATCACCGTCTTCCATCTTCATTCCAGCCCGATCGTCCATTTGATGTTTGTATCTTCCTATAAAGACACCAAGTGGGGCTAAGCCATCATATTTGTAGTCCTTCAAGGAGAGGTACAAAGTCGGGTTCAGGCCTCAACAATTTCTACGTCCATGTGGAATTCAGTTTTCGCACCAGCACGCAACTTTGCTGATTGCGACGGATGCTAGGTCACCCGTAACCAACCAATCGGTTATCATCAATACGGCTGTTAATGTGCGAGATTGTTGGCAACGGTAGAAGTGTACATTTCGCATTGTCTCATCAGTACCAGTACAATGTTGAGCAATGGTCGTAGGATGTTACTTAACCGGTATCGAGGGTCCTAGGACCACATCAACCGAAACTTGATAACTCATTGTTCTTTGCGCGCACCGGGCCGATATTATACGGTTTACGGCAATGGTATCAGCTACCCGCTTGAAACGTGATTGGGATTAACGTAACAAAATTCGAAACGCAAAGACATGTGGTTACTCCGACGACTGGACACCGAAATGTCTGCCAATAGATGACGCCGATAACTTACGTGAACACGAATCATCGGACAACGGTTAGTTGCCCCTCACGTTCAACTTCCCAGGTTGGTTTGTGCCACTTCACCCTGGAATTCGAAGTCTCGTTTGTTCTATCTATGTAGCTTATTCCCTAGTCACTTGATTTTATGGTTTGGGTTTAGACAACTCAGAATCGCTTCGGTCCAGTGGGAATGAAGCGCATCCGTCTTATAATTAGGGATGTGGATAGATAACTCGAATAGGTGCGAGCAAAGAATAAGCTGGGACCAGTGAAAGTGAGTTGTTCCCCAAAATTCGGGAACCATGGTGGACCAGTATGGGTGAACAGAATCAGCAAACCGATATGAGCATTTAGTTCACGAATGACAGCTTCAGATCCCTTGTCATGTTTCTCGGGTTCTCAATGACCACATAATGTCTTTGACATGAATATAGGTTCAATCTCACGCATACTGTCGATCGAGCAACTAGCCTAACGAAAATCATCCGCATTCCCTTTGGAGCCCTGATCTATCAGCTGAACTTTGTAATACGCTTCTGTTGGAGACGACCTGATCCTCTCTGCAACGTTGGAAGTTGTGGCTGTGTTACTTCCTAACTACTCGCCAGAACACAAAGCCTTCCGTCATCCGTTACGTTCCACTGGTTACAACCTCTCTCGTTTCGATAGAATCGTAGTCTCAGTCCCTTATCGGACTAATAAGAATGTGCAATTGAGGCGTTAATGGAAATGCTTAGTTGTGATGCATTTTATGCGAAAATTCGTAACTGCAAGTTTGGATGTACTTGTGTTAGACCCCATTCGCTCCAGAAGGGAACCGCAACTTATTTGTAACGCGCTATGGAGTTTTTTATCATCTAAATTCGCTTGTCGTGCAGACTCGATCCGCGCTCTGGTTTGTAAATTCGTTTCATCCTCGAGCTCTGCAAAGTGTTATCCAGTGTCTTTTGGCTTCTAGGATACTAGAATAACCGCCCTCATCGTGCGGAGTTGTGGACGCCTTATCCTTTTTGGTTCTGTTAATTAGCTACCGATGCGCGTTCCGGTTAGGAAGGTGCGTTGCTTGTCTGTTTTTACGTTTCCATCTTCCACTATAATTGTGCGTAATGTTCATTTTTGGTCGCTAACAGAACCTGTGCAGGAAAGTGGACCTTTGTGAGCGTATGACTCATACAAACGCCTTATGTCGAATGATGATTCATTTCTCACGGACATCCAACATACATGGTCAGTCTGCGTCGGTGGTTGGGCGAAGTATGATACGAGGTACCCGCTGGCGGCGTCTGCACCTTAGGTTATTGGGAGAAGCAGGGATATACCGCACTGTTCTCGCACTCAGGTCCATGCGGCTCCTTCATTTGCCCATACCTGTTGGTGCTTTGAAATGTCTGCTTAATGTTTTGAGCTTCGCCCTCCTCCTCATCATTAACGGCAGTACATCGGCCATTTTAACTAACACTTCGCTGCCATATGACCATGATGACCTACAGAATAATGAGTTATAAGAGAGAATGGGGATTATCGTAAAACCTTAATGCCTTAAACAAACATTCAGGGTCAATGCATCTACACCTTGTGTCAGCAGTACACCATCACAAACAGCGGGATATCGTCCCGTCCTCATTACTTTGTGCACAGATTTCGCAACGACCGCAGTCCCCAGAAAAGTAGGTTACCGTGGCAGACACGCGTTCGATTCAGTCCTGTTGCCGGAGCCGTAGAACGGACCTAAGAATGTAACGCAACGCAACTCGGCTACTGATTGCAATTCAATGAACCGCAGCATATTACGCTTGTGGGTGTTGCCACTGGTTTTCTCTGTGCATGTGAAATTCCACCCGTACGTTGCGAGCATCAGTGTTGACCGTCGAATACCCATCCGTATTCCTTTTCAGGGTGGCCTATGTGATTGACACACACGTTGCTTAATGTCCCTCACATTCATGCTTCCCGCACTAATGAACGGCTGTGGTGCACCTAGTCTTCGTTGTAGTCATTCCTGTTCTTGATCTATTTATAATTGTAAACGTTGTTTAACGCGTTCATTTAAGATAAAAATTTGTGTTCCTTTACTTTGTTATTCGTCGTGGTCGCGCTCAGTTTAGTGCACTCCTTTCTTCATCTGCTTTCCTCTTAGTGTTTTTGACGAATCCCCGCCGATACCAGCTACAGAAAGAACTCGGTAAGCTTCATGCACGTACTGAACCTCCAGATAACTATGCTCCCTTTTCTTATTAACCATATGTTCGTCACACCACGGATTCCGTTTTATTGCCCAAGCACGCCTGATTTAAACCACCGTTCACAAGAAGAAAAGTGAGGGACCATATCACCGCTTGTGCGCACTCAGCACCATCGCGATAAGCTTGGACTATGATGTGGTAATAATAAGAGCTAATAATAATAATGTGTCAGCTGTATGCCGTAACGGCGCTTCGCTGCCGCGCGATCACCATCAGTTGTGCGTGGGCTGAGTGTGCCGCGAGGACACCCTACCCTACGCGGATTCTAACTGGTGACCTTATGATTGCAAGCCAGGCGTGCAGAACACTCAGCCACCGGCCGACCTATGACGTGTTGCTACGGTTTGTGTACTTTCTTCGACCCAATGAGCTATAGTAGTTAGCGTCTGCATGCTCCTTGAAGTCTGCCCCTACCAGATTGTCTAATAGTTAGAGGAGCTGTCTTCTGGCCATTCAGGTTTGGGGTTGCCATTTAGATGGCGTCCATTTATGCGAAACTAGGGCTTTGCCGCCTGCTCACTGCTTTACAATTAGGCTTTTGAATAAAGGGTTTTGATTAAGGACGCTAATCGTTCTCTTGGCAGGATTTTAATCCGAGCGACATACTGCATCGGACATCGCGCATTTGCAAAAGGACCGCCTTATCCGCTGTACACATTAGGGCGGATGAGCAAATATATGCTACTGCTACTGCTTCCTTTCTTTTCCACCTGTTTCTGTAATTCCCATCTTTACCACCATTGCGGACTCTTAATTTCCAGATTAATTGACAGCATCGGCATCACAACTGGAGTTCTGTCATCCGCAACTATCTGTCCACATCCTCCACTGGACTCCTATCGGCAACAGCCTCATAAATCCACACTGCCTCGTTTCCCTATCGACGATTAACGATCGTACCCCAAAACAGATTGGTCAAAAGACTGCACTTGTACACACATTGGACAGTCAATATCATTGTGCGTTGCGTGTCCGAAACTAGGATCAATGACCCCACACAGCTATCGATCTGACTGCCGCCGGTTCGTCGTTTCGTTATTAGTCGCCTGCATTCAGGGACGATTGTGCAGCAACCATATGTCAAACTAAGGTAGGGATGGTTCTCGGTTCCAAGATATGTCATCTTTGATTGGATTCCCATGAGCAATCATGTGTGCATCCCGTTTGATAACATCAACCAAGATTAGCACACGAAGCAGAGCTAGACACTATCCATTTGTTATCGCCGTTTATGCCCCACCGACTACAGTCCTGATAAGACCAAGGATATCCTGTAGTACTAGCTCAACACGCTGATTCGCGGTTTCTTATTTCGAGTATCTTAGTTTTAGAAGTTATGAATGCGCAAATATCACGTGTGAGCTCCTCAGAAGCTCAGCCTGGCGGGTAATCGCGAGTGTTTATTGCAACTGTGCACACATTGTTACAGAATGGCCAACACGAAGCACTTGCCCGGACACCAGACACTGTCGATCGATATCTGCTGTTTATCGGGAACACGCCTGTAAGACACCAGCTCTGTGCTCATCCTGATATCTTCGTGCAACACTTTCTCATTGCGCTTCTCTGGAAATGGCACAGTTTCAAATGCCTTTCAAGCCGGTGTGGGCATTTTTCTAACCCCCAGGCTGGAGCTACCTTGATCGATTTGACCCCAATCAACTACCGAACGTGCATCGTTTGGTTGACTAGTTCAAATCTTCGAAGTCGTGCGGGTACAAACTCTGCATGTACATTATTGCTGCCCCTGCCCCCACATACTGTACCGCTGGACGCGTTCTCTTCCACAAGATAATTACGGATATTGCATTGTTTAGGTCGGAAAACTGACCACTGATGAACTGCATCTTGACAGCCAACACGGTGTAGGCTGCTGTAATGATAACGGGGGGCGGTTGCTGCACACATGTGAAGATGCCTCTCTATTTCTCGCGAGCACTAACTTCTGATATAGCACCTGCAGAAAGGTGACATGGCGCCCACCAGCCAGGGCCCCGAAGTTGATCACATGGCGGTCAGTTACCGCTGGAGATGCTATATCCAAAACTGCCACCTGATTTGGAGCACAAATGTGGACCCCGATCAAGCACTCGTATGTGCCTATCTCGGAGTTCGCCTCGGCAGACTCTTGAGACGAAGCTATGAGCGCATAGTCACTTTACAACTAGTGAAACCAGGTGTTCTGAATACATTTCAAACTGCGCTTGCGTGCAGGTTAATTAAACACTCACCGAACACAGTTGAGGGTCAGCTGTTGCATATCCACCAGAGATTATTATCGGCAAGTATATCTTTATATGCAAAATCAAATTGCGAGCTTGGGCATTGGATCTCGACACAGTCTCTGAAACTGCTAAATGCTCGTAGCCATTCCGACGAGACTTGAAAAGACGTCAGGGTGAGACTGCGTGCTAGTCTGAAGAGAGACTGCGAAGCCCAGTTGTTTCATCGTGCATCGGAGATGAAAATGGCTGGTGCCTTTAGTATCCATTGATACCGGAAACGGGCGTCAGGAAACCTGGTGTTAGAGAAGCTATATGCGACGCGAATGGACAGCCAAACTATAGCTAGGAGAGTTGGGCCGAACGCTTTGAAAAACAGTTTAATCAACCAGAGTTTCAAGCCATCTGCCAACGATCCCCTTTTTCCATCGGTCATCCCCTCGGATCCGCTCTCAGGCTGTTGAGACTAAGGCCGTAAGAGCAGATGACCCTTTTGTACAACCCCTTTTTACATTTGGGGATTTGTTCTTGCGGATGATTCGCACTGCTTACTAGTGAAGCTGTGTGAGCAGGAGATTGCCCCGACAGACTGAAACTGCTCGGCTATTGTCTCAGTTTTTATGTGTGGCTCGCGTTTGGTATGCGGCAGAGAGATTAGTCTCTTACTCCATACACTTGCTGGCACCTGTAAAAACTAGCTACGCGAGGAGCGTCCCGGAGATCGTCCAAGTACTGACCACCTCTTCACATTTCATCAGTTGCTGGAACACCGCCATGTTTATTTCCGACCCATCGTAGTTGTGTTCCTCGACATCAAGATTGTTTTAGTTCGCTAAATCGATGTGGCTTTTGGGGTTGTTTGATCATGAAAGGTGTACACGCGTAGTTCGGACAGAGTGAAAGTTAATGGGAAACTATCACCGCCCTCCAATATTTCTAGCAGTGTGAGATAACGTTGCTCTCTGTCATCTTTCCTCTTTAGCTTATCGACATCATGAAAACTGCGTTTACTGAGCACGACCTACAAGGTGTACAGCTGCTCCCACGTTCTCGACTTATTGACGGGATAAGCTGACGAAATTGCCATAATCCGTGATTGCTCAGGAACGTGCTAAGCAACACTGGACAGATTAGCATTGACTGCCATCTATCTCGCGTTATGCTTCGCACCCTTGGACTTCGAAATCCTTTTCCAAGACTGGCAGGGATTCACCGTTGATGGTGATCAGCTAGAAGTCGTTCGGAAATTCAAGGATCTAGGCAGTTACATTTGTGTCTGTGGAATAGACGATTAGATCACGTACCGTATAACAAAAGCTCGGGGCGTTTTTGACAATCGCCATCTGCTGGCTGGCATGACGTCACTCTCGATCTGAAGTGCAGAATTTACAATACAGTCATACGTTCAGCCCTTCTGTACGGTTGTGAAACCTGGTCCATCATGTCGGCAGATATAAAGATGTTAGTTAGGTCTGATTACTGCTGCATTCGCGACTCAACTCATGTCTGGTGGGAACACCACGTGAGCAATGACCGTGCTCGATGTCTCGTATTTGGTTCAGGAAGAGCTAATGAGCCACTCAGCACCATTACTTTACGCACCAAGCTCCGATGGCTAGGCCACACGTTGCATATGCTGGAACACCGACTCACGCGTCGTGCATTGTGTGCGTGATCTACAGTAAGAGGAGGCCAGGTGATGACTTGGTCATGAGGAATGAGGGTCCTTAGTTCGAAGATGGCGTCGGTTGTAGCCCGAAAAACGAACAAGTATGGTTGGACACACTTTATAACATGGTTAGGAGCCGACCTCACTGGCGTTCGTGTTCTGCTTTTCCTTGTCCCTCTCCTTCCCGCTTAGCTTCTCCTTTCAATCACGATCTCACAACCGTTGCATAATATGACTAAGTATTATATTGCTTGTTTTATTTTGTGCTCAGTAACGACTAGTATCTCGTTTTTTTCATATACCTTTTTGATTGCGGTACAGTACAGTAGGTGTTTCTCACCTTTAGCTACGTGTAATGATAATGATATCCACCTAGAGCTGTTCAGAGAGGATTTCTGATAGACCACATCGCCTTAAGTTTCTAAATAAACAGTCCAACCCTAAACTGCTGCTCTTTCTGGAATACTTTCGTCGGATTTGATCACGCGCTGGTTCTTTGCCGATTTTCGTTGATTCTCACCAGTTGTTTACCCCGACGGCCGACTGAGACGTTATCTCAGCCAGCAGTCAAGCAAAAGTACCAAGGTGTCCTGCATACTATACTTTCACTTAACTACTCCTACGGCATTGTGCTTCAGTGGATTAGTATCTCGGCCACCATGTGCGACACTGCGGCACCGCTATTGTTCATCGCACGATTCACTGGTTAATCTGGGAGATATGTGAACCTATTGGAATCCAGAAGAATACTCTCTACTTCCTCTGAAAACAATGTAGCCAGACGGATCACCTAACACGAGCTATATAGAACTTATTTGTTAACAGGGAAGCATGGCGGACAAAATGGGGGGGGGGCAGAAGATAGAGGAGGCAGGAGTGGCAAGTAATTACCGAAGTCTCTCCTGTCTGCTTCGTACCATTGGCCCCAGGAGGTTATGCGTCAATGAAACAACAGAAGACAGCACCAATTCGCAATAGGGAATGCCGTTGGGTGGAGCACTTTTAGGAGCAATTCAGTAATACCCGTGCTCCTCGGCCTCAGGTCTTGCGGGCTAAGACAAGACCAGATAGTCTATTGGTTCTATCTAAGATTAAGGTTCCAAACGCCCACCTTACTTTGTATTCACTAGGTTGGAATTCGAAACATCCTTCTTACCCATTTGTTACTTCAAGCTAGGCAAATTTTAGCGATCCATGTGGTTGTGAAGAGTACTATGGCAGACAGCGACAGCTTCCAAGCCGTCGTTGAGACGGTTTCATCTTTATTTATCGGAAAACACAATATTATTATCTTCCTATCTCATGAGGCAACACGATCTCTTCCTAGCATGATTTATCGTGTGGCTGCCGATAACTGTGTACCTGTCTTCCTACAACGGCATATCCTCGTGTTCCCTTCACGCTCTGACTTGGATCAACTGTGCCGCCTTTGAACTGCGGCGCACAATTTCAACCAGGACTGTGATTCGCTTTAACGCAAATATCCTGTCTAAATCGCTGAAATGGTAACAAAAAAGTCAGCATCATCAATACACGTTAGCCGAGGGTGCGAAACACAGCTGGCTAGCTCTCAATACTACTCTACATCAAGTTTTGTCCTCCTTTTGACTCTAAAAAACTTGAACATGGGGCTTCGCGGCCCTACAGTGTTTGAGAAATCATTTTCCTTTCAATTGACCACCACGTTTTCGCACCGTGAAGCTCCGCTTCGAGTTAATTATTAATTTGTTCTGGTTTCAATCACTTACATACAGATCACAACCTTCGTCCTCGGCCACATTTCCCTCGGTCAATCGCAACTTATTGAGTGAAATCGAGGCCAAACAAGCATCCACCTTCAGATTTACCACTCGTCACATGCATGTGAATCCAGATCACTCGATCTGTCCGATCCCAGTGTCCCAGTCGAGTACGTCAGCGAGCAGTTCCTCGGTTGGACCACGTAACAACTTAACTCACGCGAAGTGTTATTCCCCAGATGTGAAAACCAGTTTGCCTAATAGAACTGGACAACCAACCACCACAACACAACCACAGTCTCAGCGCGATGTACAACCATCGAGCTCTGATCAATCGCGAACCGGGCATTCAATTGGTACTGTTAGCAAGAAACCTGCAGCACAAACCGCTGCTACCTCGACTGGGGCACCAGGCTCCAGTGCGTCCAGCCAGAACGGATGGAACTCGGAAAGATTGAACCATATTCGAACGTTAGTAAAGGCCAACTTGAGGCCACACTTTGCCAGTGGACTGATAGACAAAGCTACCTACAAACGTATTCGGGAGCGAATCTTGTTCAAGGTTGGTGTCCGTTTTATGCACTAGTCGTCGTTCGTTTTCCAACTATTTCACATTCGCCTGTCATCGTCTCAGCAGTGGACTTTGATGTAAACGCGTTTTCATCATATTGTATTTAGACCGTACATTGGTTGGTGGAATTTGTACCGCTCTTTGATGTGCGGACGCTTCATTACCACCCACAGCTGAGGTTATCCGAGTTCAGCCCTCTGAAGAACCACTGTGACCTCATCTCAACGAACCCCCACTCGGTCTCGGACTTCCGCGTTACACGCAAGAAATCCTACGCAGACGCGAAAACTGACAATCGTGTTGTGTTTTCCGAGCGAGTCGGCCAGGTCTCACAGCCGTACAAGAGGACCGCACCGATAGAGGCAATGTATACCCTGCCCTTGAGTTTGAGACTGACGTCGCGACGGCGCTGTAAGTGTTTCAGTCTAATGAATGCAAGGCGGACCTTTGCAGTCCGTTGTGAGACCTCACCTTCAGTACCACCGCCAGCTGTGATGCAACTCTCTAGATAAATGAAACAGTGGACTTGTTCTAGGACGTCACCAGCAATGGTGAGGGCAGGCACGGGCATCTGCCAATTCTAGTATAATATTTTACATTTGCCTAGAGAGAGATGTCATACTTAGATGCCTCCGTCGTTGAGCGGTTCAGAGCGCTCTGAACAGCTTGTGGATCATCCCCAAGCAAAGCGATATCAGCGGTGAGAAGGACCCAGCGTGAAAGCGTAAAAATTCAGACCCAAGGCACCTACACACCTATTACTCTTTAATTCTTTTTTATCTAATGTTCCACTCCGGTTCACTTTGCTCACTCGTTTTCCCCATTTCCCATTTGCATTCGACTCCATATTCCTCGCCATTTTATTTATCTTGTCGACGCCGGTCACTGTAACCTGATCCACCGCACTTCGATGTCTGGACCGTGGTTATCTAGACGAATTAAATCGGGTCCCATAAAAGTGTCCTTATCTCCTCACCACGGCACAGAACTCGCGTTATCCAACAAACGAGTCACCTAGACGATGTCGCACCACTCACTTCAAAGGCAGTGAGTGTCGCCATGCAACCATCAGCTGTTTTTGCCATTTTGTGATCGCTACGAATGGAATTTACAATTATGGGTCTATACAATTATCCGATCGAATTTCAGATAATCGCTAGCCCAGTTCACAAGTAACAACCATTTCCGCTTATTCTTGCGGCTTTTTGAGTGGAGTCTTGGGCCCTTTGCTGGGGGCCATTCCAGTCAACGTCTCGTTCAAAGAAACTGTTCCTTAAATAATATCTAAATTGTTTGTCATTGTTCTTTACAGGTTCAGCAGAAACAGGCAACCAAAGTGACGGATAACCGGGTGGTCAAGTTGGTGAATGAGTATGTAGACTACTGCTTGCGACATACGCCCACTGATTCCTCCAATCGAAGCGAGCAGTCTTCTTGATGCAACTACACTCCCGTGCTTGCTGTTTCTCGTCTCCTTTTTTAATGTTCTTGATGTTTCGATAAATGTTGTACATACCGGTTTAAACTTAAGCCACTTGTGGCTCATAGGATTAATGCAGTTGTGGACCCAAAACGTTCCAGTTTCATAATCAATTTTGATAGCCTGGAAACAGAACATGCTTTGGCGTCGAACGCTATCACTTCATCTCTTCTTCCTGGCTGGGAATGTGAGTGCAGAAATCTCTCGTGAAACTACTTGCTGAGTACCTAGCGCCTCTGGTGCCGAGTCAGTTGGAGCGCTAAATCTTATACTGTGGGTTGTGTCTGCCTTGGCCTCCAGTTGATAAACGGTTGATTAGTCACATTTTAGAAGGCAATCTTGAAACTTAGTAGTGACAGACTTGGGTAGCGGGCTAGGCGCTCCTAATCAAAAGCAGTCACAATGGACAGCAATACATCATTATTGTGTAATAGTGTCTCAATGCATCAATGAACGAATAGGGTGATATTATTGATAGGAGTCAAGGAGAGAAATCAGTACCCAGAATTAAAGCACCTTTCTGACAAAGTATGATCAAAACAACTGGTAGTCTTGCGAAGGCAATGCAGTCGAAAAGATACTTTCCTGAAATTCCATGCAAACGGTTGACAGCCAACTTGATCCTGAGACGACAGCAGGGTAGTCGCTAGCGTTGGTTGTAAATCAGGTTTTGCGCCATTTCTAGCATAGCAGAGTAGGTCCTCTGAACGAAAACTAGGCGCATCACACTAACACTCGATCGCTTCATCCCTTATTGCTAGGTCAACAATTGTCTCTCAGACACACTCAAGTGGGCGTACGCAATCCAACTTAGTGTTTCGTCTCTTATTCATGGGCTAAACTGACCATCACTTAGTGCTCAACTTATCACTGCGAATAAGTCGAAACTACTCGAAGCGACCATTTTAAGTTTAGGAGTCTTAGATCCACAAGCATAGTCCCAGATTCCAAAAGTTCCGAGACAGTAAGCTCATCGCTACCAAAGTGGGTGGGTTTCTGACAATCCGGCATCGTCACTTTGGCTTCGAAGACGCAAAGCGCATGGTGATAGACGGGGCCACACCAAATAGTATGCCGAAGGTTAGCTGCATCGCGAGCGAAGTGTAGCAATGCTATGCTTTCATATTCATCTAGATCAGGGATCACCGAGCTTTTTTCATGGCGGACCGGATAACTAGAAAATTCGACGGGCGCAGGTCGGATTACTGGAAAAATGGATAGTAATGGATAACTAACAAAACAGTTAGTGCGGGCCGCATAATCAGTATGCACAGTAATTGGGAGCCAGAAAATTTGAGAAAAAAGAACGAAAACGCGACTCTCGGTGTCCGCATCTCTTTTTCACAGTAGCTTTAGTGAATGTTGAGATAAATGGGATCTGGACAAGAAAAAAACTAAATTAAAACATCGGAAAAAAACAAGAGTACGGTCCATTGGAAGAACATGAATGTAGCAATACCACGACAATTTGCGCCTCCAACTCAATTCTGCACTATCAACCCGCGACTCGTTCCAATCATGGCATGACATGCATAGACTAGCGGCGTTTTATATAACGTGTGCTTCAAGTGATCAAACCAATCCCCATATCGTGGCACAAAGGTGAGGTAAACAGAAACACGGTAGGGTAAACGAATGCATGGGTCACTTATGGTACGGTGGTACGTTCTCACATGTAACAACCATGAGATCGCTCACGCTAGTGTTAAAACAGTGTAAGGTCACTGACTGTGACATGCATTGTCAAATGTAAATAGTATCACAGCGTTTCACGTTCCCTACGATTTATCAAAGTAGTTCGGGTATAAGCGGTGGGCCGTAGTTTGGTGACCCCTGATAGAGATAATGCAGATTCCTCTTGGACGCTGGCTCAACCTATTCAGAGGTCGTTGAAGTCTGCGTCCGCGTTTTCAACATCAGATTCAAATGTAATCTAGACAATTATGTTCATTCGTAGACCTGGCAACTGAGCTGGGCGTATGTTAGGTGTCTCTCGTTCGAAATAACGCACTCTACACGACCGATTGCGTGCTTATTTGCAGACTGTGACCCGAACATGATGTGCTGGGGTGTCAGCCGAATCACAGTCTGGATTGAGATTTTGCGTCGTTACCCGTTCACATATGGGCTTTGAAACGACTCCTAGGATATGTATGAAGTGGTTTCGCCACATATTTGAGCAATTAGCTCGTGGCGTAGAACAATTTTGACGGTACCAATATGACAGTCGCTCCGTGAACTAACTCAGGAGGCTGTTCACAGAAATTATTATCCCGAAGCTGACGCCTACGTTATCACTCCGGTAATGCGCAAATAGCGAAAGAGTTACCACAGTTCGTTCGATAGCCGCGTTGAAATTGTCGTCGTTGAGACGCAGTATGCACCAACATCTGTGCGTGGGCACACTGAGTGCCGCGACATTAAGTGTGCTTGACAGCAGCAGATAATTTACTACTATGATGTAGTGGTTATTGATAGCAATACATTTTGGAGGGAGAACAGGTACAACAACCCTCCGGTTCGAAATCAAGTCTGGGGAACGATGGCTAAGGTTTGTCTTGCACCGATCCATTGATTCCTCTGGTAGGAGCAGCTTCCAAGGTGCTCATAGCCCAGTAGATTTGTCAAGGAGAGTAAAATCTCCCAAGAAAAATCATTAGTTCAATGGGAAAACTATTCAAATCAATGGCGTACAAAGGAAACATCAAGTCGTTTCGGGAATGTTCACATCAGGAACATACAGGTCTACTCGACGCACGTACCTACCCCCCATTGGATTGCGGAATTGAACTTCCAATCAGGGCAGCTGTCCTAAAACGCGAATATTCCTCATTGGTCCAATAAGTATTCACTAATTTCCACACTGCTTATACCCATTTCGGTAGCGGGTTCCGCAACACACTTTTGCCTCCAAGCGTTGACTTCGATTTTGGAGCTAGCAAAGAATGTGTTCAATTCAACCGGAATCGCGAAGAGGGAGATGGTAACAAATGGCGACGGAAGTGGGATTGTAATGAATTTCTCTGCAGACCAATTTCAAATGTTGCTACGGCAACAGCAGGCACAAATGGAGGCTCAGATGAAGCTGATCGAAACCTTCACGCAGCGGCTCAGTTTTCAGAAACAGCTTCGCGGGACACACAGGCAAGTTCAGTTGATCTCCTTTGCAATTCCATTACTGAATTCAATTACGATTCTGATTCCGAAAGCAATTTCGATGCGTGGTTCAGAGGCTGGGAGGATATGTTCACAACGAATTTCAGCCATCAGGACGACTTCTAGAAAGTGCGATTGCGGCTCCGTAAACTGAGCACAAATGAACATTCGATTCACTGATCATATACTGCCAGCAGATGTCAGTTTTGACGAAACGGGGTAACAAATCAGCAAAATTATCGGTGAGTCGGCTGAATGGCTCACCATTCGATATCAGTGTATGGAAGTCATCAAGCGAGACACAAACAACTACGGGGCGGTGGCAGACATGGTCAACCGTGAGTGTGAGCGCTCCAAGCTGCAACCTTTGACAGATGACCATTTCAAGTGTCTCATATTTATCGGTGCTTTACAGTCCTCGCAGGATGCAGATATCCGCACAAGACTACTCACAAAGCTGGATCAAGACCCAGAAACGACGCCAAAATCCCTCACTACCGAGTGCAAACGATCGATGACTCAGAAACACGAGACCGCCATATTCGAGAATTCTTGCACACAACCACGAAATGTCCATGCCATGACAGCTTCCAAGCGAAATTCGACTGACAGTTCTGCTCAGAAGTCACAGAACAGACCGCCTACTGCCCGTTGGTCATGCGGTGAGTGACATTTCGCCCGATTCCACCCATTCAAGAAGCACATTTGCCAAAAGTACCACAAACTGGGCCACAAGGAAGAACTCTACAAGCAGTCTCGACTTATAAACACAAAACCGTCCCCTTCCAAAAAAGAGGCCAAAATTACCGTTGCAAACTCTCTGTCAGTTGTTGCCGCTTTCCAGAGTGAGTTCAAACCCAGGAGATGTTACATTACCGTACTTATCAACGGATTCCCTCCAGGTTGCAGTTTGACACGGTCTCGGGTATAACTATTATTTCCAAGAGTACAAAAAACCACATCAAGAGGCCGGCGGTTGCCACTTCTGATAAAGTGGCTCACAACGTATCTGGCGGAGTACTGAATCTGGTTGGAGAAATTACCTGCAAAATCGCTTTTAACGAGGTGGAAAAGAGTGGAACATGCTATCTGACACATCGTCCGAATCTGAACCTCCTTGGAATCCACTGGATCGAGAGGCTAGGACTCTTTGATGTCCCCTTAAACCAGATTTCCAATCGTTATACGCCGAAGCCTCAAGCACCGGAGTGTCCCCAGCGGAAGCAAACAGATCCGCAAGCCATCCCATACACTTCCTTCAGTCTCTGAGTTCTCGTACGGCGGAAAGAACGGAAAAATTAGAACAAGAATTCAGACGGCGGCATGGCGCAAGGCAACGTTTATCCAAACCCGGAGATTCAGTGCTTGCACGCGACTACCGGAAAGGCTATGCAGCATAGACTCCAAATGAGATCAAATGTAAAAGTGGAGATGTAATTTACGATGTGCTCATTAGATCGCAAACCTGGGTCTGACATGCAAATCAGCTACGCCCAACGCTGTGCCGGTTAGAGATAGGCAACTCAACCGACCTTGCGAATCATTTCAACTCACCGAAACCAAACAGAGAGGACCTCAGTCAATCGAGCGATGCATCAGATAGTCAAGAGACAACTCCCAGAACACTTCAAACCAGGAGATGGACGGATAGACGGAGAACACCGTCTTCAAGTGAACCCGAGGTTACCAACCTACACCGCAATCGCAAGAGGGAGAAATATCTGGGGGAAAAGTCACTAATTTAAGGGGAAAACGATTCGGACCATTGGTTTACGAAAGAAGCCAAGACGTTTTGGGAATGTTCACATCAGCAACACACAGGTCTACTCGACGCACGTACCTATCTGGTCTGAGACGCGAACATTCCTCGGTAGTTTAATAAATATTCACTAGTTTCCATTCTACTTGTACCCTTTTTAGTAGTTGGTTGCGCAACACGCTTTTGCCTCCAAGCGTTGATTTCTGGCTTTCGGCTGGTGCTCGGAGCTAGCAGAGAACGTGTTTAATTCAACCGGAATCGTGCATAGGTAGATCGAACGGCTGCGGACCGTGACACTAAGTGGAAATTCAGATTCGTTGAAATGGAAGGATTAGTGAACAAAAAGCTGCTCTCCGCGAGTTCAGCGAAAACGAGGTTAGTCAAGTGTGTCGAGCCTGAATCGACCCCTGTACACAGCCGCGGGGTCCAAGCACACGCAGTCGTCGGAGAACAATTGGCGTGTTTGTCTCCGATCTGGTATGATCATCTGTCGCGAACATTCAACTTGAAATGACTCGAAACTGTCTTGGTCGTGTATTGAAGTTGCAAATCAGCGGGACTCTTACAGTTCGTTGCAGCTGGAATTCACACTTGCCTTTTATGTAACGTGCACTAACAACGCCTTTTTGACCACTAACCTTGGGGAATAGAGCGAAGTATCCTGATATGCAGTATGGACAACTAGTTTCCTACCATTCGTAGTGAGTGATAAGACGATGTTTTTGACTAACGTTCGGTGTTTTAATAATTGGAAGTGTTTTAATTACACGGGAGAACGAATTCCTTGTTCCCTTTGGACCGCTTTCCGATGCTCCGGGATGCTGCTGTTAGCCAGAAGAAACTCTGGAGAAACAGAGAGGATGTCCAAATCTGGAGGCGACCTACGGTGAAAGAAAAATAGAACGTCAACAGAAAGTGAAAAAGCGACAGTTATGCCGATAAGGTTCAGGCGGCTAATTATGATTTAATACAATGGCAATACGATCAATCGATCTGGCATAGATTAATGAGGTCATCCGACGAAATCAGAATACGTTCATATGAGAATTTTGATTGTGTTTTACTGTCAAAGAGGCATTTTCTGTCTGATCGAGTCATGCTAGTGACCCAGAGAGCGGTCTTGCGAATAATTAAACGAGTCACAAATAAAAACCATAACTCAGCGCTGCACGGATAATTGGTTCAACTCAGCTAATAAGCTATGGTGTTTATAAACAGAATATGCGATGCAGTATCAGAGAAGCGTTCGTCTACACGGACTTGTCCCTATGGTTCAAGCATATTGACCGTTCATCTTGAGTGAAGCATTAGTGTGGACAGTTGATAATAAGACAGGGGCGTGAAGGATACAGACCAAAAGACCTGGTCGAGTCGGCGAGTGAAGTTTTTCACGTGCAGTCATGGAGATCGGCTTTATTTGACAGTCCTCTTAAAAGTATCGTCTCGCAGGCCCCACTGTGCTGGATTTTTATTTATAAACATGTATTTTATTTTGATTGGAATATTTATGTCGGTATCTCTCATTGCAAACATATCTACGGCGGTTTGACAATTAATTACACCATAACCTAACACTCGGTTACCTTCAGTAGTTAAATTCAGTACAGTTGAACAGCCATGATCCGAGCAACGAAGTGCGGTGGATCCCGTTGCCACGAGTCAATCGCAAAAATAATAATAAATAACAACGGCAAGATAGTGGAGTTGAACGCAAAGAAAATGGAAGCAAGAAGGTGCGTCAGCTTAATCAAAATGAAACGAGAACTAACAATCAGATGCAGGAAAATGTATACAGGAATGCCATTGTGTTATGGTTACCAATGTCGTGCCAGACTGCTCTGATCCGCTGTTCGTGAAAGTCTGTCTGCCCCGATCAAAAAGGCAGTCGTAGATACGATGTAATGACAGTCAGAAACAATATGAACACAGCGCAAAGTGCCTATATTTATTTGTTCGTAGCGACTTTCTTGAACCTCTGTTCTCTTCCATTCTTTGCTTACTAATACTGATATCAGATTGTGCGAGAATATTCTCTTGATCAACCAATGTAATTATTCTCCTTAGTTTCTGCAAAATGGCTAGAGTTTGATCCGCTTAGGGTTCACTGATCCATTCGTTTGAAGTCCACTGGGGTTGACCCAGGGCAGCGTGACAGGGATTCGGCAATGAGACGTCCAACTTCTGGGCCGACAATCAGGTGCAGGAGAGGTTGGTGGGATGATATGCTTATCTTGCTAAGTAGCCTCTGTCGTTGACAGTTTGGTTTCGTCCAGAATTATTTCAAGAAGTGTGGTTAGAGCATCTGTCGAATGATGTGTAGCTCCTGAGTTGGTTGATGTGGCGAACCCATCTGTCATCGTCTACGGCAACTTCATAACAAACATGGTCATGTCTTTTTACGAACAATCCAGGTGTCCAAGGGATTTTGTTCAGACAATCCTTTGTCAACATCTTATGTTGAAGTGTCGTGGTACAACACAATGTCTTCGATTGTACTGATGCTCCATTACCCAATTTCTTTCGGAGTTAGGTCCTCTAGCGGCTTTATTAGATCAAATTTCGTCTGAGGTCTTCTGAGCAGAAGCGATTTTGCTGGGTAATTTCCGTCAGGCGTCTGTGGATTAGATGGAATCTTGTATGTTAGCAGAAAGATCTGTAGGATCACTTAAATTGGTCCCTCTCTTTGAGCAGAGCCTTCTTGAAAGTATCCACAAATCGTTCAGTGTGACCATTTGACTGTGGGTGATAAGGAGGTGGGCGCACGTGTTCCATGCCGTGCAACGCATAAAACTCAGCAGTTAGACGGAAACCGAGGTCCATTGTCTGATACTACTGTTTTCGGAAGACAGAACCGACTGAATACTTCCCTGAGGATTGTAATCGTGGCCAATGTTGATGTGTTCGACATTTGGGAGATCTCGGGTCATTTGCTGTATGCATCGATGATAAGTAAGAAGTTTTATCCTTTCATTGGCCCTGCGAAATCAAGGTGAACACTTGACCATGGTTTTGCGGGTGTCCGCCAGAACAGTTCCCATTTTCGCGGCGATTTTGCTGCTAGGGCACACTTTGAGCAGAAACATGTTAACTCCTCAATTTGAGAATCCATCCTCCCTTCATCCTGTTGAAGTCGGGATGTCCGGTATGAAATCGACGTAGGACTTTGGATTGAAATTTGACTGGGATGACGACGCGTTTACCAAACGGGATACAGTCTTGGACGACAGATAGTGCATTTCGTCTCCGGAACAATTGTTGTAGCCGTGCGTCCGAAATTTTTCTAGGCCATTGTGATTGGTAAAAGTTGCTCACCGTTGACAGCAGCCGGCCGTACGTGGTGGCGTCCCGTATCAGGATGTAAGATATTGGTAGCTGATTTAGTGTCCGAAAACACACGGCTGACTTTCGTTTAGATGGAGATAGTAGCAACGACAATGTTGGTGTTGTTCGTCCAAAGGTCGTGACAGTGCCTGACAAATGTCGCTCGTCGATCGGTACTTGATGTTGAAATCTTACCCCAGCAAAGTTATCGCCCATCTCTGCAGACGGTTCGCCGTATATACCGAAATTCCTTTATTCGAGCCGAATGTAGCAAGAAGCGATTTGTAGTCTGTTAGCAAGGTAAAGTGAAGGTCGTATAGCATTTTGTGGAAATGCTTCACTGCAAATACAACAGCGAGAGTCTCCTTCTCAATTTGGCTATACTTTCTTTCCGCAGCTGTCAGCGAACGAGCGGCAAGAGCGACTGGCTTCTCAGACCCGTCTGAGAAATTGTGGGAGAAGACTGCACAAACTCCGTAGCTGGATGCATCCGATGCCACTACAATTGGCAGCTTTGGATCGTAGTGTGTCGTTATCAGTACTGAAATTAATGACGAATTGATTCTGTCAAAAGCTTCCTGACATTCGGTTGTCCAGGCGCACGAAATATTCTTCATGAGCAATCGGTTTAATGGTTCGCGTAGGTCGCGCATGGACAGTAGGCAGGTACTGTTATAACTCACCATACACTGGAATGAGCTCAACGTCGCCACCACTTTAGACGGGGGCATGTCCTTGATCGCCTTGAGGTTTGATGGATCAGGTCGTCGTCCAGTTTGGCCAATGATAAAGCCGAGATATTTAATGTAGGTCATGGAGAACTTACACTTGTCCATTCTTAAGCGGAATCCATACCCCTTATCCTGTCAAGCACGTGTTCTATTGGTTGGTACAGTTCCTCCTGGTTAGATCCCATGATAATGACACCTAAGTATACAGCGGCATCGTATCCATAATCCACTGAAAGATTGCCGTGGCCGACTTAACGCCAAATAGTAGGCGTGTATACTGGAATAGTCCTCTATGAGTGCTAATCGTTAACAATTCATGTGATTCCTCCGATGTTTCAATCTGGTGATATGCGTCAGACAAGTCCAGTTCGGCAAAACGGCACTGTTCATACGTGCAAAAAGGTCTTCAGGAAGGGGTAAAGGGTACTTGTGGTCTATGAAAACGTCATTCAGGCCAGTAGAGTAATCTGTACATAAGTGGATCGTTCCGTTTGGTTTCTTGGCAATCACAATGAGAACTGCCTATGAAAAGGAATTGGTCGGTTTGATAACTCCGGCTGACTGTAGTCTATCAAGTTCTTGGTCGACGATTGAAACCACTGGAACTGGTCGCTTCGGTCAGAAGGAGTATTTTCAGATCTGAATGTCTTGTCACGTAGCAAACCCTTTCGGACTGTCAGTCTTTCAACATTACACGGCAATAAATTTCACCGACCAAGTTCAGCGGTTCTCCTGTAGCATTGGTTGCAATCCGAGTTGTTTTTTGAACAGGGGATTCACCGATTCCCTTCCAGGTTTTCTCGGGTATGACTGTGATCATGCCTGATTTGGTGTGTGTCTATAAATTTGAGAATAAACTATTTATTTATATCAGGCAGTGTCTATTTGAAGGCGTACGGGCACTGCTCACAACCACCGTCACGAACCTTCTGTCTTTTTCGGCCCCTGCATATAAGATAGCACAAACAGGATGAGCTTGAAACCCTTGTTTTGTGGGCACAGATTATTTTGAATATTTACCGGAGACGTTATTGTTGAAAACAGCTGCAAGGCAATGATCCTCCTTGTGACCCCGTGTGTTGCATTTCTGACAAAGATGCTTCTTGAATGAGCAGAATGTGATGAAGTACCATTCCCCACATTGCCAGCATGCGGATAGTTATTTGTTTGACTTCAATGACTTTTGGACCGTCGCTGGACTTCCGCGCCAGTTTGACACCGCCAGCACATCTAGGGACATGGACGGCGGCCTTCGGCAATCAGGTTCGTATAATGCTAAAAGTTGATTGATCTCTGGCATTCGGAGGTGATGGACGGGTCCTGCACAATTGCACTAAGCAGCCTCATGCGTATTTCGGCGTCCTAAGGCGCTTGTAGACCACAAACGAAAACTAAGACATTGAGACGCTCGCAATGACGATTGACGGTACTCGCGTAAGTTACGAAATAGTCTGACACACTTAACGAGCTCCATGCAGCTGTATCGGACGCTAAAAAGGAAGACTGTTCACAAAAAATGTCATTTAACAGAGGCACAAATTTGTCGAAGGTAAAATCTTTAGGGAATTTTAGTAAAAGGAATTTGAGAAACTTGTCGTGCTCCTTAGTTCCCAGCTTCCATAAAAGCAGTCTGCACTTCCACCAGTCACCAGCATCGGCAAATTAAGAAAGGAAAACGCCTTCGTAACTTACAAGATTCGAAAGTTGAGCCGGCTTCCGGGTCATATTGAAAATCACAAATGCCGTTTGCGACAACATCCGCTAAAGATTACCGCTTCTCATTGTTTGATCTCGCTTAAACCGCAAGACGTTGAAAGATATTCTCGAGT